TTTGCAGAGCAACGACTCGTTCCCACTATACAATGCCATTGAGTTCAAATATAGTCCGACGTGGAAGTTGGGGTCTAACTTACCATCGTATATTTAAAACCTCGGCATACTGAATCTCTTCGGTGCCTCAAACCTGTCCAATTCCACCGAGAATGGTGTCCTTGGCTTATCTAGGGAGGTTACCTCGGCCTCAGGCATTATGTTGCTTCCTCTTGAGGTAATCTCTTAAGTCCTCCTTCATCCGCCCAGGAGCTCGGCTATCTCCTACTTTCAGTTTTTTTGGTGCGCTACTTTCAGCTTCATGGTGAGTTCTTTTCGACCCTTCTCCATGAGTTGTGTCGAAGCACAGTGCCTGCCCCTGAACATGCCGATGTCCTTTGGGGTCTGCTTCCTTTGTGCGATGCGTCCTCTATGATTCTTCTCTTCTCGACTCTATCCGCCCAACTTCCCTAGAAGGTCGGTGAGAGTATCTTTCGCTCCCGTTGTGCTGAGGAGCTACGGGGATTGTTTTCTGCCCTCCCTTCTGGGCATTGGCCGCTGGAATCGATGTGTCCTGTAGCGGGAACGGTGGCTGCATGACGATATTTTGCATCATGAAATTGATGACCGATTCTAGGTCTGCCAATTTGTTTGCCATCTCTTTTACCTCTTCGTCTCTCCGTAGGCACCTATCCTTCCAAACTTGGAGGTCGTCCTCGTTGTAGTACCTACTTCGATCTGGTTTCTTTGGTGCGTCACTAGTCTGGCCGACGTCTTTCACTCCGTGACTCTGGTCACGAGTTTCTGCGTTGCATTCGTCTCCTGTGATATCAAGGTCAATAGGTCTCCCACTCCCAGCAGGAGTGTCGTCCCCAACCTTTTCCTTCTGTCCGTTACTGGCCATTTATTCTACTTTCTTTCCCACAAACGGCGCCAAATTGTGTGAGTGATTTTCCGATCACACTGCCTAACTCAGTATTTAGTTGAAAAACACTGGCAGAATAGATGAGGCTAATCTGTAACAGAAAGAGAAGATTCCAGCAGTGGTTCGTCCACCCGGGGGCATTCCGACGATCAAGTCAGTATATCTCTCAAAGATAATCAATAGTGCAAATCTCACTGTTCGGAATATAAGTTGCGTACCTTAGACCCACGGGCGTGCCTCTCTTTTATAGCTAACTCAATCCTTGTCCCAACAGGAGCCTAGCTCTAATGGACTTAGGATTACTATAAATCTTGGACTCCTAGTAGAATTGGGATAAACTCCCTAAGAGTCTTATCCTTTCCCAACTGTAGTCTTCCCCTTTTCTAGGACTTTTGTACCTTATCCGCTTATCTCGGATTCCGATATCTTCGGAGATAACCTCGGCTTAACTGAGATAACCTCAGCGTCATGACCTGGACACGTGGCACCTCGGCTGACACGTCGGCGTCACCTTGCCACGCGTTGGTACTCAAAAATATATCCCCACAATAAGTTCTACCAAACAGGGCCGTTGTTCTCTGTGGAGTGCCACAACTAGCCTCGGCTGAGAGGATCACCATGAGAAATAAGTAACTCAAGAGGTGCTATGTTTTAATCCTTATTTTATCCTATTTTAGGTATATGCACGGGATAGTAATGTTTTCCGTACATTCTAGTGTGGCTGTAGGGACATAATCCACTTTGTTCATTTTCTTAAGATTTAAGTATTTTGAGAATCATATGTATGTTTGTTAAGGATGAATCATTGTTGTTTTTGTTGCCAACTCATTTTCAGCTACTTTGAAGCTGATAACTCTGTTCCTGATCCCCTGTTCCATCTTGTTGGGAGCCATCTATGTAATTGACGCATAGTTCATAAATTTTTTCTTCTTGTCATTCACTTTCTTGCCTACGTTGGTTGTTGATTTCTAATTTTTATTATCTTTGATAATGTCAATATATTTATTTGGAATCTTCTTTTCCAAAGTCTCCATGAGATTAATTATAAATTTCCTCGACTCTCATCTGTAGAAAAAACACATTTAAGGAAATATCTTAGAAAAAAATTTTGGAATTGCTTCGGATCGCTAACTTTACTATTATGGAACAAAAGCATACCTTGTTTCAAAAACTATTCCAAAATGTTTTTTTCTTTTTGGTAACACTCTGTACTCTTAATATTTTTAATTTCAAATCTCTATATTTGAAAGCTGTATCCATCTAAACGGACCCTAATTGTTGAATTTCAAGAATATTCCTTTTTTAGAGTAGGGACGTATCTTAATTAAGCCACTATTTGATGCGTTACCAATGATATTTTGCACTTTCATTTTGTAGATATGGAGTAGCAAATATGTTGTGCACCATTTTTTCTCTTTCCCATCAACATTTGATTTGTCCTTTGTTAAGAATCAATTGCCTTATCCAACTAATACTGTGATATATTCTTGTTGAACAGTGGTATGTCACATTCATTTTCAACACGAAGGGACAAGAATCTATCCAAGATAACTGGATTTTTTGAAAATAACCTAAGGTTTGATGAGAGGACAACTAAATCACAAGCAACATTAACAAATCAGGTGATTGGTGATTTTTTGCTAGTCCATAAAATTACTGCAATTTTCAGACTAAATTGTTCCTGTGGTATAGTTATGCTAGTAAATGTTCTTTGTTAGTGAACTCTCTTTCCCCTCCCCCTCCCCTCTTTTCTCCATAGGGAGCTATCACACAGCCGTCGGAAACATATTTCCACACTGAATGACCGGATGGACAAGTTTACATCTCGGATTGAAGAATTGAATTCCAAGTTAATCGGCAAGAGAGGTTCTACTAGCCCACAAAACATGCCTCTGGAAGCAAAAGCCTGCAATGGATCTACACCTACTTCTTACTTCATCTCTAGTTTAGGCAATGGTTCCTTGACCGTACCTATCATGCCTAATTCTTCATCTTCCTCTTAGTTAGCAAATGAGTCCCCCTTAATGGAAGAGGTAATCTTTTTTGAATTCATCATGTTCATTTAGTGGTCGCAATATATTTATGCGATGTGTTAAGAGCCAGGGGCAAAAATGAAATCTGTCCTTATTGAAAAGTCACGTAACTCGTTGTAAAATGAAAAAATGAATTGGAAATAGCTAAAAACTATTCTAGAAGAAGAATATAAAGGAAAAATTTTCAACCATTATTTAAAATATTTGGGGTGTGTTCTTCAACTATATTCCGAAGTTCTTCAATTCCATATACCACGCTTGGTTCTTAGTTTAGAGCAGGTTTTATATTCTAATACAAGTTTTCACTCAACAGCTTTTCTGTTATGATCTAATTCTTAGATAAAAGAGTTGTCTCTAAATAGTTATGGATCCTACTATTTGATAAACAATTTAATAGTGGCAAGTTTCCTAGAATTTAAGGATAAAAATTCACATTGAAGGCCAAGGAAGCCATCAGTTTATTCTAAATGTGTTCCGACTAGTAAAGAACTTATGAGTAACTTCTATCAAGCTGTACCAAGTGATCTCTACTGGTTCACATATCTTTTTTTTTTTTTGATAGGCGAAAGTCAATTGTAAGTTATTAGATTAGCTCTTAGGGGAAGTTGAACCCCCAACCTCTCCCGTACAAGCACCTAAGTGCTGCGTCCACGCCACTAGGCCACGAGGCAATGGATTTGTCAATAATAATAGTAGCAAAATAATTTGCAAAATAAGAGCCAAAATTCCACTTAGACAATAATAATATTAGCAATTCTATATTACTAATAATACTTATTAATATAGTAAAATGCATCCTTATGAATTTTTGTCAAAAAATTTGCAAAATAATTTATGAAAATTTCTAAATTTGGTCTATTGCGCTATGTATTGATGCCTTTCAGTATGTTCCAATGGGATTTGAATTTTTTATGGAAATACTAGAATTTCACTATTCTACTAGTGCTTTGTTTTTGTCTCTCAGGAAACGAAAATATTTTTTTGCTGTTTGAATGGGAACTGAAAATTTTGTTCCTTAGCGTCTAGTGTCTACCATCTTCCCAGAAGGCTACCATGCCATCTCACCAACAACTTTCCACAACTGCATAGACTAAAAATGATTTTAACACATGGCTGAACCCAAGTAATTGGGACCATGGGTTGCTGAGTTGAGTGTGATTTGAAGTTTGTAAGTTCTTTTATTTGGTGTTTTATTCCAATCTATGTATAGAAAAGAAGGAATAAAGCATATCTGATATTCATGCCTACCAGGTATTTGACAAAATGCCTCAAACTATGGTGGTATTGATTAAAACATATCAGAATTGTTGTTCTGCAATTTAATAAACTGACAAAGGTATTAGTTAAAAAGTGGACTAGTATGGATGAAGTTTTTTGGTTTAGGCCTTTCTTAGAAATCAATTCTTGGGTTTGTAGCTCCTTTGTGTTAAGAGTTCTGAAAGGGCTTTGTGTTCACATATTGGGCTCCAAACCCATGGCTCATTCCAAAAGGTACTGATATTGGAAATTCACTTCATTCTTGGGTTGCTTTACATCTGTATATAGAAGTTAATATAACAATGCAAAAAATAATTCAACTTTTGTCAGCTTATGAATAAAAAATTGGGCAGTAGTCACTATTGGATGCTGACTTATCAAGACTCCATAATGGTCCATACTTGGAAGTTTTTAGTCTTGCGACAGAGACCATTTTCTACCTCATTTTTAATTGCTTACTCACAATGGGAGTAGAGAATACACAATCACATGGGTTGAGCCCCACTCCTATTGCGAGTAGGAGGTAAAAAATGCAGTAGAAAATGGTGTCTGTAAAAAATGAATTTTATGCCTAATTTGTTGTCATTATCCTTGTCGTTCCACTTTAGCACCAATTCCTAATTTATTAAGACTTGAATGCATATAGATTCTGAATTATGCAGATACAATAGAGACACAACTTGTTCTTTGTATTGTTTCTGTTTTATTTTTTTAGACCCATATATGCCTGCTTAATCTTAGCAGGCGTACTTAGATTTGCAAAATACATAGTAGCTGGCCTTAGTAAGTTGAATTCCTTTATCCAACAGTATGGTGTATCACCAGAAAGGTTTGGAGAGTACAAAGAACTATGTAGTTTCTTCAAGGTCTTAACAACTAGTGCAGATTCAGATAATAAGGTATTGACTACGGGCAATTTGTTATATTTTATCAATTATCAATCTATGTGATATTTCAGTTAAAATTTTCTCTAAATGAATTATCAATTGATTGTTTATTTTTATCAATAAGTAAGTTTTACCCTCCAATGTTTTTTACACTCCAATGTTTTTTTTCTTCTCCCTATATATTTGAACATTCTAAATTTAGAACATTTATTTGTATCAGGTCTATGTCTCCACAGTCCATGCACACAATTATCCTGTTACTGCCTTCCAGTGGCATCCAGAGGTACTATCTTTGAAGTGTATCTCATCATAATTGTATTGGGAATGTGAGATTCATGATTTTGTTTATTGGATGTTGTCCTGTGTTGTTCATTAGCCATTATTGTCATCACTATTTTTGATCTAGTTATGTTGACCTCCTTGTGTTCTGGAAATGATCGCCAACCTTCCAGTCAAATGTGGAGACTATGCTATTGGAGGGAGCTAATTGCAAACACTTTTTATTAGGCTGCCAATTGGTTTTACACTTGCTAAATTGATGCTTAAGGATGACACTTTTTATTGATGCATATCACCCCAAGCCCATAATGGACAGATAATGATGGTATAGATCAGTTTTTGTATTTTTAACAGATTTTTTGATGGCAATAATATTTGAAACGTTGTCCACCTTGTTTATGTTTTTTTCCCCATCTTCTTTGCATGAAGATATTCCAATTTGATGAGAACAAATAGATAAGAGTTTTTAGGGGAAAATAAATATTTATTTTGTTGTTCTTAAGTATTTTTGTACCTAAATTAAATGAATTCCTCCAAATTTGTGTTCAATGACACGTGGTGTATAATAATTTAATAACTTTCTCAATTATTTTTTTTTCTCTTTCGTTCCCTCCTACAAACAGCTAAACATTGTTGAGTATTGTTTTGTTGTAGGAAATTTCTGCCTTGAGAATGGAACCGTTCTGGAAGAAAAAGAATTCCTTGTAGATAAAAAATGAAATTTGCCTATGTTTAATTCTAGTAACCTTGAAAACCATTTATGCTGTTGAATGCACAATCTATCCCGTAAAAGAGAGAATTTGTGTTGGGAATACAAGTTAACGATCACGAGTTTGTTGGTTTTGATAGTATAATGTATTTGTTGGATTATACTATATTTATGGATTTTTATTTTGTTGATATGTAACGGTTAATAGTTAAATGGTTGAATAATTGGATGGTACAAGTTGTGGAAGAAATATTTTTATGAATGGTTAAAAATTAAATGAAACGAATGAATAGATGAATAAATTTTTGTATATGCATAGGTTATAGATGGCGCACAAAAATATTACAGATAAATTATAAAAACTAAAAATGAGAACCTTTTGGTGACTAAACAAATGTCAACGGGTTGGCTTTTGGCTACTAAAATTTTAGTCACCGAATTGTAAAAAGAAACTTTTTTGGCTAACTAAAATTTTTAGTTGCCAATTTCTCAAATGTAAAATTTTTGGCTAACCAAATAATTAGTCGCCAAACATACATGCTCAATTGGCTACTAAGATAATTTAGTCGCTAAAGTAAATAATATTTTATTTATTTAATTTTTTAAAAACATATATGGCGACTAAAAATATATGGGCAACTAGAGTTTTAGTCGGCCAATAGGCGACTTTTGGCTAACCAAAAAGTTTTAGTCGCCGATTGTTCCCCCCGACAAACTATAGGCTGAGCAAATGGGTGACCAAATATATTAGTCGGCAAATGTGATTGGCCGACTAAAAACAAGGCTTTTGGCCGACTAACCATTTTAGTAGTCAAAGTGAAATTTCTTGTAGTGAATGTGCTAATTAAAATATTTACAGTTCAAAACTCTATCTCTCTTGTCTTTTATATTATCAACACCATCATTTCTTTTACTCCTGAATCTTAAAAATAAAATCTAGAAAATGCGTCTTTATGTCATTTACGCT